AGAGTCCCTGTGGAGCAGCCACAGACCTGCAGGCAGATGAGATCTGATGCACAGCCCAGGGCCAAGGTGGAGACAGGGCCAGGGATTCACACCCCTCTGGAGAACTGGTCCCCAGATAGTTTTCCGACTTTGACTCAAGCCCAAACCTGGCCATTTGATTAACATCAAGAGACAGAAGTGGCAACTGAGGTGACATTCTCTTCCCCACAGGATTCCCAGAGCTGCAAACAGCTGAATGCTACAACATGCACACTGGGGCTCCGGGCAGCAGAACCCAAGTGTGCAAAGCACCTGCTGCCGATCGTGGCCGCTGTGATCGCTCAGCGCTGCTGACTATGCGGGTGGGGGTGTCCAGAGCTCCGAGGGTGGCTGACAATTCTACTTCTGCAGCAGGCTCACTGCAGTTATGGGTATTACCTGGCCAACACCGCCCCTCCTTCCCCACTACACTGGCAGCCCTGAGAGGGCAGGACCAATCTGAACTTGCTTAGCATTGTGTCCCCCCAGCCGGGCACCTAATAGGTGTTCAATAAAACTGGCTGAGAGAACAAACTAGCTTCTCACTACAACCCTATGGGAAGTCCGTGTGCTGCAAGGTCCCCCTGAGGTGTGAATGGCTATTCCCCAATTTATCTGAAATTCACTGACATCACAGCCAGTCTCCCTCTTGTAAACTGTGTGTCATCTACTGCCTTGTTGGGGTTATGGGGTAACGCACTCTGTAATCTGATCCCCACCTGCTATTTTAGGCCATTTTGAGCCACTCACCCCTCTTGATGCCCAAGACTCTGTCATGTTGGTCTTACTCTGTTCCTTGGATGGACAATCATCTTTTTGCCTCAGGTCCTTTGGACATGCTGCTCCTTTGGCCTGGTGTACCCTTTCCTCTCACTCTGCCCCTGGAACAAATGTCGCAGCTGAAATGTCACTTTATCCATGAACCCTCCCCCCTATGCCCACCTGTACCCTCCCTACTCTCTGTGGATTGGTTTTTGGGCTCCTACAGCCAACCGCCTTCCTTCCCTCAAACTCCTCACCCTCTCGTCTACATTCAGTTATCCATCATCCACCCTCGCCCTTCTACTGTAATGTTCACAGGAGCAGGTATGTCAGTCATGGTGGGCTCCCTGGCGAAGGGCTCAGGCATTGCATACACAGCTGTTGGACACATGCTGGCTGGGGCTGGACTTCCTCTGAGCTGGAGATAAGAGTTACCTCGTGCACAGTCTTTGGGTACCGAGGCCGGACATGCTTATCAAACTAAGCAGCGGGTGTGCCTTGTTCCGACTTTACCCAGTTATCAAAGAGCAGATCAAGCATGAGGCTTCCTCCCCCCTGCACCGTGAGGGGATGAGGGGGGACTTCTTAAGCAAGACGATGACCAAGGATTTGAAGACTTCTTCAGCTTGACTTAACTGGGCAATCCGCAGTGGGAGTTTTGTCCTATAAACACTCACGGTGTCCTTGGTTTGTGCTACAGATGGAAAGTGACTGGACCCGAGCTCCACCTCTAAGAGCAACTGGACAGGAGGGGGAGACAAGCGAGCGCTGAGGTCATTCAAATCTGGGAGATAAATGCCGTGAGGATACAACCGACTCCCAGGACGCCACAGCCCCCAGACCTCCCTGAGAGCCATCCAGGTACAAAGAGCCAGGAAGGAAAGCCACTGACAGTGAACTCACCACCAACACTAGAGGGCGCCGTCCTGTACTTGTGTCTGGGCTCAGGTGGAAGACACAGGGGCGCGGTGCGGTGGAGGGAAGCAGGTGCAGGGCTCTACTCTTGGGGACAGGCTGGGTCTGAGCCACCTCTCCGTCTGCAGCTGTGAGCAAAGGCTCTGGCACCAGCAAGGGCTGATGGTCGTCTGGGGGACAGAGCCACTTGAACAATGCTCCTCGGTCACCCCTGGTCAGACCCGGTGGCGAGACCCAGAAATGCACGGGCCTGTCTGGGAGAACAGCTGAGCAGAGCTGCAAGGCTGTGGCTCAAAGCGACTTTGGTTATTGGCCGTTTATCTCCGGTGGCCACACACTCACTGCCGGGCACACAGCAGGTGCGCAGGAAATACCTGTGAGACAAACGAAAGCAGGGTGCCCATCGTTCAAGAAAACATTTGAAATGGGCGCTGAGCGGGGAGAGGAGCTCGTGTCGACCAAGCACCTAGTGGGTGCCAAGCTCTGCACACATGGTGTCTGTTTTCCTCATTCAGCCCCATTTCACAGAAGAGCAGGTGAGGCCCAGAGAGGCCAAACCACTTGTCCGGGGCCACAGCGCCCTCTCCAGGCAGGGCTGCAAGCTGCAGCTGAACTGAGACCTTGGTCTCCACTCCTCCTGGGGCTTGGTATTGACTCCCGTGTGCGATGTTAGCCTGGTATCCTGACCTCTCTGGCCATCCAGAAGCAGCAATAAAAGAGATTTCTCCTTCGTCCTGAGCTCACTTCTTGGTTGACCGTGTGTTTCTCTGATGCCTTTCCCGATTTGAGTTGTGCCAGAAAATCCCCCAGATTCCCCCCACATTCTGGCTCTTCTGCTGTCCCAGTGGGATAGAGCTTAGAGGAGAGTGTTGGCTGGACCTCAGTCCAGGCTGGCACCTCCTTCCAGCCCACTCTCTCCTCCTGGGCCCTAGAGGGGCGGTCCTGCGGTGCCTCCAAGTCCCTTCACATTTTGGCTCCAGTCTGACTCCCCAGCCTCCTCTGAGCCCATTCTGGACACTTCTCCATGCCTTGGCTCTGCTGGTTCCTCTGCCTGCCGTTCCGTCCCTGGCACCGTGTGCGGGAGACTTTTCATCCTTCAGAGTTCAGCTCAGATGGCACGTCCCTCCTTTGCCGCCTGCACTGTGGGGTCTCACAGCACTCACTGCATGCCTTCCTTCACTGTTTTCTTTAATGCATTTTTATTGAACATTTACTATGTGCAGGAATCATTTTTGATGTTGGGAACACAGCATGGAACCAGTGAGGCACTGTCCCTGCCCTCATGATGTCACAGTGTCACAGGAGACAGCGACCCGTAACCAGGTAAGGACAACACTGTATGATAGGGGATCTCCGGGGAAGGGAGGAGTCAGAGAGGCACCAGACCCAGCCAGGGATGGAGTAATCACGAAAGGCTTCCTGGAGGAGGTGGCAGGTGATCTGAGACCAATTAGTTGAGGCAGATGGGAGGGAGGCATGAAGGATGTGATGGGACCTGGGGTGAGAGTCTGGTATGTTCAAGAAATTGAAAATGCTCCCATCTCATTTTAGCCTAGAGATGCAAAATGAGGGTGGTAGAATTGAAGGAGACATGTCCAATATTCAGCCCTTAGGGGAACCTGCCCTTTCTCCAGAATCCACCTGTGAGCCCAGACAAATGCCTGGCCCATGTTTGGGGGCTCCTGCTACCACTTCTCCTCAGACAACTTTTCTGGAATCAGGCAAGTCTCCCTTGCACAGGAGGGTGCTCACCTAGTCACTACCAGTGGTCAAACATAACAGGTGGGGACAGGTGGGCCTTAGGGCCCTTCTCCAAGACAGTGCAGGGGCATGTCCTGTCCTTTGCAGGATCCATTCCAAACCCCATTGTCCAGCTTTCAGGCCCGTAGCGTATCTCCCCCAAGCTCTCCCAGCATGTGGATGTAACCCAACCACACAGTGTCCCATTCTCTACATTACTGGTCTCCGTCCAGCTGCTGGCACTTGGTAGAGACTCAATAGATGCCTGGTATGGAGTTTATGGACCGAGCCACTCCCACTGGCCAGAGTGCAGTTGTCAAGTCTGGAGTTGAACATCCTGTAATAAAACTCATGGATGTAGTGTTTTTGCGGTGTTTGAGGTTTAAGAGTGCCCCCCAAAATAGACATGGGGACCAGGGTTGTCCCTGGAAGGTGACAGGCACCAGAGGGGAGTGAAAAGTTTGAGACAATTCTTTCCTATGGCCAAGACCCACTTGAACTCACTGTGGTCCTGGGGGGCTGGAGTGCTCTTTCTGGAAGCCACTGACAGTCTTGTCTGACCCTGGATAGCAGAGGAGGACTTCCCTCGAGGAATGCTTTTGAAACTGAGGGCCCCCTGTTGTTCAGGACCCAGGTAGGCGTCCTGCTTGGCCAAGTCTAGGAGTATTACTGTGCCTCTCAAAATACCCGTAGCTGTATGTATGGGAGGCTTGTGAATCACCAGATACCGTGATCTCTAAGCAGGGAACATCCCTGATCGGTGGGGGATACTTACTCCCATTTTATAAATAGGGAAACTGAGGTTGATAGGTTAGGGGAGTGTATTACATGTCATCAGAGTAAATGAGTAGGAGGTGTGGGGCTCTGAAAACTTTATAAAAATCATGAAAGATAAACAAAGCACAGATTGAAGGAACTCAGAAAATCCTAGCTGGGTGAATTCCAAACAGCATATGGAGACACACACACACACACACACACACACTCTAGGCAACCTGCTGAAAACCAAAGAAAAGGAGAAAAATCATAATGGCACTCAGAGAGAAAAAGACATGTGAAATGGCACGATGTACGAACGTTTCCTAACAGTGGGTTTGGTAAATAGAAGCCTCTCCATCGACATGAGCTTGCCTCTTCTTACCCCGTCGCATTCTCCATTTAAGATGTAACGTCACAAAGCCAACGTGTGGGGAAAGGAGTGGCCACGTGCTCTGAGAAATTACTACAATTTTATCTCTGGGAAAATGGGGGATTTTTTGAAACAAATGGAACCAGAAGCCTAAAGGTGCAAATGCACCACAAACTTCGAAGCAGATTTCTGGGGCGGCTACTGTCCCCCGAACCGAGAGAGAAATCACAGCTGCAGAGAATACTTGGGACAGAACACCTTTTCCAAGATGCTAATGCCATCTCCCGGTGGCGTGAATTGGTGATAAGCCATCTAGAGACCTTGGGGGCCTCACTGAGCCAGGAAGGAAACATCTGATGGTTTACACGGGGGGTGGCATTTCCTAGTATAGGATGGGCGTGTCTTCAACAATGACCAGAAGGGCTGTGGGCAGCTAGACCAGGAGGAGCTGCAGCCACAGGTGAACACAGGCACAGGACCTCACACCATGGAAAGAAAATATCCGCCCATCCAGGGGAAACCGGGTGAGTCAAGAGGCCCAGGGCAGGAGTAGGTGCCCTCAGTACCAGCGACTGCTCCTTGCTTTCCACTCCAGGCCATGATTCAGGCCCATCCCTCATCCCTCCACATTCCTGGCATGATCCTGGCAGACCATGTGCGCCGCCTCATACTTGCCGCATTCCCCACAGCACAGAGGGACCAAAGGCTGCCCCAGGGTGACCCCTGGAAGTTTTTCTGCCTGGCAATGACTCTGGTGCTGCTTCTGTTCGACCTCATCCTAGGTGTGGTCCTGGCTGAGGGTAAGGTGGTGAGCCAGTGGGAAATGGGTGATCACATGGACCGAGTCTTGAGAAGCAGGCCCTACAGGGCTGGGGCAGAGATGGGTCAGTAAGGGGGTGGCTGGACTGCATCGCTGGACTTCATGATTTTAGAGGGGACCTGCCCTCCTCGTCTTAGCCTGCAGTTTGGGGAGTGGGAAAAGAACCGGGTGCTGAAAGGTCTAGAGCACATCAGCACGTGTCTCTCCTAGTACTGCTGTTCTCCAACAAGATGCAGGAAGACCTCAAGCAAATGGACATCCAATGTGAGTGCTGAACGAAACGGAGGGCTTCCTTCCCACACGCACCACCAGGTCTTGATCCGCCTTTCTCTGTGGGCCTCTTAGTTGTGCAGGGTCTGGCAGATGCTGGGCACGAGCGGGACATCGTGTGGGGAGAGGTGTTCCGGCAAACGGAAGCTGTGCGGGCAGGCAACGGTAAGGAGGCAGGGTGGCCTGGGTGGTGGGAACTGGGAGTTGGAAGAGGACTGCTGTTGTGTTCAGCCCTGCTGATGGTAGTGGTTCTTATAACACGCGAGCGGGTGTTGGGTTGTTTTAATCGATCCTCTGTCAAGGTGGATGCCAACATAAAGTGTGAGGTCCCTTGCATGTATCACTCTGCCATCTGGTAAGGCCCGGCTCTTGCATGAACACATGGGAAGCTACTGTGCTCATTTTGGCAAAGAGGCACGGATGAACAGGTTTGGATCATTTCACCTCTGGAGGCCAGTGCAGCCTGTAGCCTCAACAGAGCTGATGTCCCTCCCCTTCTCCAGAATCCTCCTGCGAGCCCTGCCGTGAAAACTGGACGGCATTTCAGGGCTCCTGCTATCAATTTTCCACACAAGAACTGAGCTGGTTCAAAGCCAAGGATCACTGTGCAGAGAAGGGTGCTCACCTGGTCATCATCAACAGCCAAGCAGAGCAGGTGAGAAGCAGGGAGGGGTGCTCTGGAGACCCGTCAAGTCATTGCAATCTCATGTCCTTGTTCCCTGTAGAATCCAGTGCAAATCCTGCATTCTGTCCTTCATAATGTCCTTCCGCTGTTTCAGCATGCAGCGTTGCCCAGTATTCAGTCCTGCTTCTGAATGATTCTTCATGGTGGCCCTTCTGTCTGGAATGCTTCCTTCTATCTACCTGGACAGCTCCTACCTGTTCTTCATCAGATCAAACTTTGTCCTTCAACATCCTTCCCACCCCCTCTTCCTTAATACTGGACTATGCTGCCAGATCCCTGGTTCATCTCCTTGCACATGGAGAACTTCCCGGCTAGGGGTGGTTCTGACTCATTCTTGAGTCCATACTGCCTGGAACCAGATTGGACACACTCAGTATGGTTCAGCGGACTCAATGTTTGTCAGTGGAATCCAACTGATTGCCAGAACATTTTCTATGGAGTAGTGTCCAGATTCCTCACCCTGTTAACCATGCCCTTGAATAATCCTATCTACCCTTTAACCAGGCAGTGCTCATCTAGGAGCCATACTGGGCTCTTCTTCCCTCATTGAAGTTTCAGAAAATCCTGGAAGGCACCTGCCATTTTTATCCCCATTTTACAAATGAAAAGCCTGAGGACCGTAAGTGTCCATAATTTGCTAATTACACAGGTCATAATAATAGTGGAAATGGTCATCTACCTAGAGCTTTAAGCCAATGTGTTCAATGGTGACATTGGAGGACATCCTTGCCCATGGGGTCCCCTAGGTCTTAGTCCCTTTCATGGACGGCTTCCACTGCCATTCTCAACTCTGGATGTAGTCTTTCCTGACTTACTTTGCCTTCTTCTCATGCAGAAATTCCTGAGTCCAAAGGAAAATAATGGATACTGGATTGGCCTCAGGAAACAATACCCAAAGGGCATTCACAAGTGGCAAGATGGCTCAGTCCCTACCTTCATGTGAGTGTCTCTGTTGGACTCAGAACACCTGAGCTTGTCTGTCCCATTGAATCTTGAAGACGTCTTCCCACAGATTCTCAAATTGCCTCAAGGGTCTGATTTTGGCCTGAAGCAAACTTCCTGTCATGTTTTCAGTTGTCATGCTTATTGCTATTTTGTTAGCTGCAGATGTGTGTGTGTGTGTGTGTGTGTGTGTGTGTGTGTAAAAACCATAATTAAATAACATTAAATAGGAAGTTCTTTATTGTAGGAAGTCTCAGTGCCTTTAATACATTGAAGAGAATTGTACACTCTAAGGAGGGAGTAGACAGTGTATGATGTACCAAGCTTATTGAGAGGCACAGCTCATAAGGATATATCTGGAGCTTCTAGTGTCCTATAGAACACACCCAAGGAATCACTGCCCAGGGGATCCAGTCCTAACCCCTCCACGTATGATTCAATGACCTCACATTCTGGTCATCATCTGTTTTTGGACTTTTTTCGTGTCTACACACTTGACCAGAACCACACGCTAAGCCTCCTGGACCTTCTTGAGTACATCTGCTCTCTTTCACCTCCACTGCTTCTGCCTCAGCTCAGGTCAGGACAATTGCTGTATATCCTGTACTTAGTTTTACCTTCATCCACCCATGCTCTAGTCAAGTTCAAGGGGCCATCTTCCTAAAACACGCCCTTGATATACTTTTTGGAAACACCCGATTCCTCAGTGCCACATGGATAACCTAGAATCTTCAGATGGCACCTTTCAATTCCCACATAGTGGGTGCCAATTCATCTTTATACCCGCATCTCCTACACTCCCAAGGGCTCTCCACCCCCTTGCCACAGCTATGTGGTAAATGACTCATCTTTTTGGATATTGTCTTGTATCTTATCTTTATGCTTTTGTTCCTGCCATGTCATCTATCTGGAACATCTTTCACTGGCTCGTGTCAAGCTTCATAGAAGAACCCATCCTGTGCCCAGCGTGAATTAATCTAACTCCCTTAATATCCCAGTCATACCCTATGTAGAGTTTTGTAGCTGTGTTAATTATGATCTTCCTTTGCCTATGTATGTCTCGCCCATCAGACAGGCTGCTACTTTAGGGCGGATCAGGCTTCCAACACATGGGTGTGTCTCCAGTTTCCAGTACAGGGCTTGGTACACAGCAGGTGCACAATGAACTATATTGGAATGAATGAGTGAGTGAGTGTTATAAGCATTTCAAGAAATGTTTAGGAAAGAGAGTATGGGATCATTTGACAGACTTGTCACCTGTTATACACCAGACATTCAAATGCATCATGTTCTCAAACTTAATCTCAGAGATCCAGGGATGTTAAGTCATTTGTCTGGTTTGGCCTCATTTGTTTCATTTATAATCAAGATTATTATTATAAAACAGATGATTATTATAAAACAGTGGTGCTCAAAAGGTGGTGGTTTCTTCCTAGAGACATCTGGCACTGCAATATTTTTGGTTGTCACAATGGAGAGTGGGTAGAGACCAGCCATGCCACTCAATGTCCTACAGTGCCCAGGATGGCCCCACACAACAGATAATGATAAAGCTCCCGATGTAAATATTTTCTTCATGTAAACACAGTGCTGTAATATATGGTTAGGATATTTTACTTTTAGGATTAGTCACATATCCCCAAGGAAAGACCTTTGCCAGTAGCCTTATTCTCTTCTGGGATCTTGTTGGTGAGCCCAGCTGGGCATGGCTGAGTGTGGCTTGCCCAGCACTGTGGTTAGGGGACTGGGCTGATCCTTGTGTTTGTTTTCACAGCAACTGGCGTGATACCAGATCTTCTCACTATGACTGTGCCTTCCTGATGGGTTCTGGCTCTTGGTCCTCTACTACGTGCTATGCGTATTGGTATCATTGGATATGTGAGAAGCCACAGGTCTGCTGAGATGTCCCTTTCCTCTGTCTTCAGTCTTGGGAAAGATTGTCTTGATATGTGACCTCATAACAATTCCCCAGCTTGGCTGCAGAAAAGGGGGTCTCCTGAAAGCCCTCTTGGTAGTGTTGTCTCCCTTTCTTTCCCTTACTTCTAAATTTTGTTGGGGTACATGTAAAATAACACCAGGATGAAACAATGAGCAAAATATATCGTGTAGGACATTCTACAAGGCAAATAATCTAGTTTTGAAAAAAAAAATGACAGAAAGGCAAATGTCATATTATTAGATATGATAAAATAAAATATAAATAGATAAAATAAAAGAGTCTTAACTGAGAATAAACTGAGAGTTGACGGGGGGTGGGAGGGAGGGGAAAGTGGGGGATGGGCATTGAGGAGGGCACCTGTTGGGAGGAGCACTGGGTGGTGTATGGAAACCAATTTGACAATAAATTTCATATTAATTAAAAACACAATTAAAATTTGAATCTCATATAAAAAAATAAAAGAGTCTTAATGACGTAACTCAACTAATGTGTATACCATGTTTGGATTTTTATTAGAAAAAGCTTGAAAAAAATCACAATATTTGAGTATGGATTGTATATCAGGAAACATTAAGGCATTTTTATTTATTTGTTAGGTGTGCTAATGGCATGGCATAGACAGATGGTGGATGGATGAATAGATAAATAGATAGATAGATAGATAGAGATATATCACTATATGTTAGTAATCTATACTAACACGAACATGGGTAATACATAGGGGTACATTTGTGTACTCTGTGGGATTTTCTTTAAAATGATAAACCAGGGGTGCCTGGGTGGCTCAGTCGGTTAAGCGTCCGACTTCAGCTCAGGTCACGATCTCGCAGTCCGTGAGTTCGAGCCCCACGTCGGGCTCTGGGCTAATGGCTCAGAGCCTGGAGCCTGCTTCCGATTCTGTGTCTCCCTCTCTCTCTGCCCCTCCCCCGTTCATGCTCTGTCTCTCTCTGCCTCAAAAATAAATAAATGTTAAAAAAAATTTTTTAAAATAAAATGATAAACCAAATAAGGGGGAAGATTGTAAGAAACTCAATTGGTCGAGTGTTTATAATTATTAAACCTTGAGACACAGGAGTTCATCATTTATTCTGTCTAATTTGTGCCTACAGGAACATTCCACATAAAATTTTAAATTAGTCAATGCAATTCATAGTAACTTGTATAAGGTAAACATGATTCAGAAAGAAACTCAGCAAACTTGTGGTAGAACAGAAATGTCTGAATCTAGAAGTGAGATCTATGTAAAGTCTTACTATAAATATCATATTTCACAGTGTGGCATTGAGAACATTCCATTTTAGCTTGGGAACAATGTATGGATTTCTATAGTTATGGATTTCTCTTCAACATTATCCTGGGGGTCCTAGACAAAGCAGTACTATACCTCTCCCCCCCACCCAGAAAAAACCCCAAGAAACAAAAGTATTAAAATTTGGGAAAGAAGATACAAAACCATCAGTTTTCACACACGATACCCTTGTTTTCACAGAGACACCAAGGCTGCTGCTCACACCTTTAGAATTTAGAAGTGTGTGCCAAATTTTCTGCATTCAGAGTCGGTATAGAGATTGTGTTTTATGAGCCAAGAGCAAATCAATAGATAAAGAAATATTTGGAAAATATCACACCATTGCACAAAAATGTTAAGTGACCTTCAGAACCACAGACATTCCGATGTCTTTAAGCGAAAAATTAGAGACTATGCATGAAGACACAGGCACTCACTATAGCAGGAATGATGGGATATTACATGTTTAGTGTGGCTCTACCCACATAACAAATACTTAATACATTATAACCATTATTGGTAATAAGATATTTAAAAGTTTCATCATGGAAAACATTGAGTACCACACCTTCCTCTGTCAACCAAGAGGGATGAATCTGAAAAAAGCCACTATTCTTGGGACCAACTATTTTCCCACAGAGGCACGCTCTCTAGACTCAGAGGCACGCTAGGGAGGATGAGCTAATTTTATTCCCTCTAACAAGATTCTCTGGGGATCACGCTTCAGGAGGTCAGAGAGTCTGGTATAAACCTGTTGGTGGTGCCCCTGCTTTGGCTCCCAGAGAAAACATGCTCCTCCTCTACAGTCAGAAGACAATGTGGAGGCAGCAGTGGCCCCTCCCCCCTGGAAACACAACACCCATGGGCTGAGAGGTCCTGGGATCTGCCAGAGGTAGAGCAGCCACTGGTCAAGTAAGTGTGTCAAGAAGACAAGCTGTAGAGGCATGGTCTCAGGTCTCAACTTCCTCCCTGGAACTTCTCCTCAAAGGTCAGGGAGCTGCCTGCTCAGTGTTCCCCACCAAAACTTTAGAGTGCCTGGTGTCATAGCCTCGTGGGTGGACAGGGTGTTTGAGCTGGTCAAGAGACTGGTCAAGAGAATTCAGCCAGAGCTCAGGCTGAATTCTAACTCCATGCAGAAGTGAGGTGTGGAACCTCAGCTGCCTGCCCCATGCACTTGTGGAGGGTTCAGTGGGGGTGCTACATGTCAAGTGGGTTAGCTCAACTGTGGATTTGCATCAAATAAGCATCATTGTCCTGCTCAGAGTTAGTCAGTTTGGGCAGGTGCTGGGGGAGGAGAGAGCAGGGGTTTCAACCTAGTTCAGCGGTCCTCAATGGAGGGCAATTTCAATCCCTTCCCAAGGGGCCTTGAGATGTTTCTTCTTGTTGCAGCTGGAGTGGAGGGGGTGCTACTGACCAGGGGTGTCGCTCAATATCCTGCAAATATACACAAGGCGGTCCCCACCACAAAAAATGATCTGGCCCCAAATGTGTGCAGTCTCCAGGATGAGAATCCCTGGGCTTGAGCTGTGAAGTTGGATTGGACCCAGGTCTGCATTTCCACAGGCTCACTGGCTGCAGGGCTGTGGGAGGCGAGAGTGGCCATGGGGAGACCAGGGGATGATAGATCACCCACCTGGGAGTCTGTAGTGAACTCGCGCTGGGAATGAACCTCCTGCTTCTGTCCAAGAGATTAAGATGATGTTTAAAAGTCCACAAATTCAGAATCACTGGGATGTGAGAGGCAGGACAGGAGTGGCGGGCAGTGCCCAGTGCTTGACTTGGTTGTCCAGGTTGTGCACCCCATGGAATGCCACAGTGCAAAAAACCTCCCAGGGCCAACTTCAGCGGCTTTGGCAGGGGGATCCCATTTCAGACCTCGTGAGACGGGATTGCCTGGGGTGGGGGCGGTGTCTGGGAGTGATGTCCAGGAAACAGCAGGATAATCAAGCAGGAATTGGAAAAGAGGTGGATGCTGAGTCAGAAATTCAGAATGAATTTAATCCATTGAATAAAAAGTGTAAGTAAGTATGGAAGACAATTGAGACCGCCCTCTGCCCCCCCACCCCCGCCGCCCCATGCCCCCACACTAAGACACCTGCCACCTGTAATATAAACATTTTCTGGGGTGCCTGGGTGGGTGGCTCCGTTGGTTAACTGTCTGATTCTTGGTTTTGTTTCAGGTCATGAGTTCACAGTTTGAGAGTTCAAGCCCCGTGTTGGGCTCTGTGCTAACAGAGTGGAGCCTGCTTGCAGTTCTCTTTCTGTCTGCCCCTCCTGGGCTCTCTCCCTCTCAAAATACATAAATAAACTTAAAGAACAAAACCCCAAAATAAATATTTTCATAACTCAGATGTACCCTGAACATGCCTTGCCATATGGTATGTGGATTGCAGAGTGAACAGCATGGGGGAGTCCATAGATACAAAAAACAAAAACAAAAACAAAAACAAAAACAAAAACAAAAACAAAACACCAGCCAACCCAGATATTCACTCTTTTTCTCAGCCTTCCGTGGATAAAGATGACTGGATAGCTTTGGAGAGTCTATTGTTGTTCACAAATGTGTAATGTTGCTCCCAGGGTGAGATTTCTGCCACCCCACCCCCTTAACACCAGGCTTGGCCACTGAAATGTGGGTGGAGGTGAGAGAAGGCTGTTTCCTGGTAAAAGCTCTTTGGAGCCAGCCTACCCTTCACTTTTTCCATTGCTGTGATAACTGGCAGTGCCCCAGACACAGAGGTTTGTCTCTCTGCCTGAGTTCTGGACTGAATTCATCACGAAGCACAGCCATAGCAACCTATGATGGGCCTGCAGCCCGAGAGGGAAATAAACCTTCAGTGCTGTCAGCCACCAAGATTTGGGCGTGTATGTTGCTGGAGTGTACCTTAGCCTAAGTGGACTCAGAGTCAGTGGGCTGCCCAGGGTCCGGGTAACGCAAGCAGTGCCTGGGACATGGGGCCAGAATTTGTGGGCAAATAAAGATTGTCTCCAACACTGACGCTAAGAAGCATAAAATGAATGAAATTAGCTCCCTTTGGAAATAACCTGCACCAAGATATAATTAATCTGCGCATGCTCTTACAGCCTGACAATGAGACTGATGGAAAAGATACGTGTCCTTTGTAACATTTTAGAGTGTGCCTTTAAAAGAAGCTTCTGTAGAGCTCCACACGAATTGTCTCATTTACTCCTCCCAAGAAACTGAGGCTGTGGGAGTGTCTGTCACTGGCTAACACAGCCAATGAGTGTCAGAGATGGTATTCAAACAGGGTCTGTTGGAACCCTTGCTCTCGGCCACTAAGAGGTCTTAAAATTCATGAGGTTCAGCATTTTCTGTATTCACCCACCACATCTTCACAACTATGTGGAGCAGGTACTATTATTAGCCTCATTTTAAAGATGAGAAAACTAAGGCACAGAGAAGTTAAGTAACTTGCCTAACTCACACAGCTGGTAAGAGGCAGAGCTAAGATTTAACCCCAGGCTGTCTGCCTTCAGAATTGATGCCCTTACTCACAATTGAAAATATATTAAAAATGAATGAAAAAATAAAAAAGAAATAAAAAAATATTTTCATTTTAATTTTTTAAGTCTATTTATTTATATTGAGAGAGACAGAGAGAGCATGAGCTGGGGAGGGGCAGAGAGAGGAAGAGAGGAAGAATCCCAAGCAGGCTCCATGCGCAGACCCTGACACAGGGCTCGAACACATGAGCTGTGAGATCATGACCTGAACCGAAGTCAAGAGTTGGATGTCCAAGTGACCAGGTGCCCTTATTTTTATTATTTTTTTAAACAAGTCTTGGAAATAGTAAGTATTTTATTTAGGCTATTTATTTGGTTTATTTCTTCCCCCTATCTTTCGTGAGTCATAATTGGCAGGTAAAAATGTATATAATTAGGGTATACAACTTGATACTTTGATATGTGCCTAACTGTGAAATAGTCACCACGATCAAGCTAATTAACATATATCACTCTTTATCTTGATAGCATCACTGGAAATTCCCAGTAATAAAAATAACTGTC